GGGCCTTAAAAAAAAAAAAAAAAACACCGCACAAATGTCATTATACTTCATGGTAAAGTCTCTCACGTGAAATGTGCTTTTGTATGCTTTGATGGTGATCAAACAGGTTGCATTACAAGAGGTTGCGAGTAAGGTTCTTTCCGAGCCAATCAGACCCCAGTTTGCCATTGCAAATGTTATTGAGAGTGGTGTTGACTTGAGTGAAACACTCTATTTAGTAAGATTTACCATCGTTTTTTTTTTTTTTTAACAAAGGAAAGCCTCAAACCCATAGCTCTTCGGAAAGGAGGTTATGGATGCCAGTTGAGATACAAATCTGTTATATGTTTTCCTAACTCTAGCCTTTTTTGTTAATTTAATTCTGGGTTGCAATGTTTATGTTGCAGTTAGCTGCAGAACTTGGCTCAAAAACTCCGATTATAGTGTCCTGCGCCAATGGAATCATAGGAAGAGATGCTGTTACTGGTGAACATAGAGAGGTCAGTACCACAGTGATTATTAACATTTTCACTTCTCTGGTTTTCATGAGATACGAAAGGCAGAATGATTTATTGTCTTCTTCAAGAAATTTGCATGCAGGTTATGTTGGAAGATTTTTGGGCGGATGCTGCATCAAAAAATTCAGGCTTTGGTATGCTGTTGACAGTGGGGTATTTACCAGGACTCAAAGTTGAAGCCCTTCCACTGTTAAGACCAAGAGAGGTAAGTAGAATTGCTTTTTTTGGAAAATGATATTTATTAGAGCATGTTAGCCCCTTCTCAGATGGCATCATGGAGTGATGCAGTGAATATATAGCGATTGATGAAAAGTTGGGGTTTTTTAAGCTTTAAAAAGTTCTAAATTTTAGAGAAAGAATCTGTAAAGAAAACTTTGATTTGATATATTTTCTGGCAGTGATAATAATAATATTCTTAATCTCTTCTGAAAAATAACATAGAAATTGTTTATATAATAGCTAAAAAACCTGAAATTGAATAAAAAACCAAATATAATTATAATTATAATTGATAAAGGAATCAAAAAATAATTTGGGAAAACAAAAAAATAAAACAACATTTTCTAGGTTTAATTTAGACATAAAATGACCTCATTTGTTGCGAAAGGCAAATATATTTTAGAACCAAACCTATAAAACATGCTTACCAAATTTTAACTTGATATGATGGTTAAATAAGAAATTATATCCATTTTTTTCAAAAAAAAAGAATGAAAAGAAATTCTATCAGTTTGTTATATGCAGTGTATAATCCTTGTCGAGCTTCAATTGTCAAGTCCATCGGTCACAAAGTTTAACTGAATAGACAGGTTTCCATCAAACCATTTAGAAACACAATCCAATATTGTTAGAATGTTAGAATGCTATCAAGGTAAACTTGATAAGATAAAAAATAAGAGATATAATAAAATAAAAAATAAAACACATAATAATTTATGTAGTTCATCTAATTAGGCTATATTCACAGGCAAGTATAGAAAGATTTTACTAAGTAATGTGGGAATATAACTTCTCTCTAATAATAGAAGAACAACCAAAATCTCTCTATTACTAGAAAAAAACAACTCACTTACTATCTCATAAATACTTCATAATTTTATGAGATTACTCTCTCCTCACCCTCTCTTCTTTCTCTCTACTTGCTCTCAAGTTTCTCTCTTGTGGTGTGTCTATAATGCTTGGATGCATTGCTTATTTATAGACAAATATCCATGCAAAAAACAAGGGGTAGGACAAGTAGCACCAATTTGGTGCCTACAATTTTTTATTATGATGTAAAGGGATGGCTTCACCTTCTCCCACCATTGTTGACTTAGGTGGTTGGCTTCACATATATCACTTGCTTGGAGAAAGAAAGAATAGGCATTGGAGTCCGACCTCGGATGATAAACTCTTAGTATACTATTAAATTTAATAATTTGTTGAAAATTTTTATCTTTATTTATATATACATTTTATTTTTTATTATTTTACTAATAGAATTATGAACATAAATTATCCATTAAAAAAAATATTTATTTGTAATTTTTGATTTGTTGGCAAGTCCGTTGTTATCTTAGAAGCAAACCATGTGCACTAGAAACAACAATTACCCACTTCAACCCATTGATAATTCCCTTGATGAGTTGTAGTATCATTTGCAATAATTCTTTTTAAACTCGTTATAGTATACTGATGGAATAATTTCATCGATGATTTTTTTTTAACTCGCTATAACATAGCAATGGGATAATACTTAGAAGCAAACGATGTGCTCCAGAAACAACAATTACCCGCTTCAACCCATTGATAATTCCCTCGATGAGTTGCAATATCATTTGCAATAATTCTTTTTAAACTCACTATAGCATACCGATGGAATAATTTCATCGATGATTTCTTTTTAAACTCGCTATAACATACTGATGGAATAATTTCATCAATGATTTAATAGTTGAAGAGACATTTGATGTAATGTTTTTCAATTCTTTAGAATACATCAATGAAATTATTTCATCAGTAATCTCGTTAGTATTAAATTAAAAATATTTTTTTAAAAAAAATCTATAAAGCAGAAATAGAAAATAATTTAAAAAAATTAAATTTATATAAAATTCAAGTATTTAAAAATAAATTATCTTAATATAAATACCAAATATTTATTACAAATGTATACATTCAAATACAATAAAACTAGAATAAAGACAGTGTTGGAGGAGGAAGTTGGTCATTTCCAGGACTATGGTGCTAATAAAAGGGTGCACATGTATGACCATTTAGCAGAATTTTTCATAATTTGCAGATAGTCATTCATATTTTTTATTATGATGGGTCATACGTTCTTGCCATCCTTAATTTAACATGGTTGCAAACTCGAGAGACTGAGTGCTCGGACCAATTATGAGCTCATAATAAATGAAACAATAGAAGTTGTCCACAAGTTCTTGGTTGTAGTATTAGAGAGTTTGTACACCTAATTTCTCTCGGGTCCATCAAACGATCTTGCCTTTAACCACAAATCTGTATCGAAATCTGGGCGGGTCAAAGGATCATCCCAGTATCTCTCTTTCAACTGGTTGTTATATGCCTCTTTGAAATAAAAAATAAAATCATCAAATTCAAGTAAATAATATCTTAAGAAAAAATGGTTGATAACCAATGTATAAATTAGTGTTGAGCCTGACTGTCGACAAACTGTTGTGATCTTTTTTGACAGTCATCACTCAACAAGTGTATTTCCACGAAAAGCTCAATTAGGCTTGGCTTACTTTCAAGAGTCGTAGCCTATAAGATAAAAATGTTATCAATTGAATATATTTATAAATAAAAACAAATTAAAAATAGACATAATTGAAATAAATCTTATCATTCGTTTTGCATAAGAAACGAATAAAATAGAGTCGCCGGTGTGCGTGGTAATGCAATTGTGAATTTGTTGGCTTTGGTTCCCCACATCGAACTGTGATCATTGTGTGAGACGCTTGGATGTCATGTGCTAAATGTATTCCACCCAAATAGTCTCTAGGATGAACGGTAGCCTAAAATCCTTCCAAATCGTCATATCATTCTAGTTTGATAGAGTGCTTTCTTTGACATATTTTTTGATTTTTTTTGTTTGTACCAAAAATCACGCAACCTATATAATACATGACACGATGAAAAGATTGATATCTTCTCCCAAGTGCAGGAGTGTCGAAGTAATAAATAACCCGACAAGATTAGGTCAAACCATAGGGAGGTTAATTGTACAAATTATAAACAACAATAATACCAATAACAATAACAATAATAGTAGTAGTAGTAGTACTAATAATAATAATAATAATAATAATAATAGTAGTACATATTTATTGGAAATTACACCTCAAAAATGAAATTAACAAAATATAAAACATACTAGTTAAACAAGCCATCATTTATTTTATCACAAAACACCTAAGTCAGTAATTCGACATAAGTTTTAACAATTTATAAATAAATATAATTTCATAAAATATAAAACAAACCATAATATGTACAAATTATAAATCCATATAACAAGTTTGTTTGATAAAAAATAATAAAACTAGTAAACACCCAAACAAAATATATATACTATAAAAATAATTTTAATATTTTGTTCAAATTTAAAAAAGAAGAAGGTATATTTGCTTACTTAAGGTGGATAATTCTCAATAAAATTTTAGTCAGAACATGCATATTGACAAATTGAGTGTTGTGGTAATTGAAAAAGGTTATAGGAGTTTGAGTTATGTTGAGATTAAGAAGGGGTGACTGTTTTGTTACAGAGAAAACTTTCATAAGAAAGAAGTAGAAATGGGAGTGGGGGAGAGGAGGGTCAAACACCAAGTCATATATTAAATATTATTGACGATTTTACCTATGGAATTATTTCGAAGGTGACTCTATTGACAATTCTTTCTATAACGATGCCACAACATTCAATGATTTGCTTTTTTTAATCTCATTGTAATATGTTATTTAATGTTATTATTATATATTGATAGAAATTTTTTTTGGTATATTCATGGACAAATTGTATCATTAGTTTACCGATAGATTTAGCGATGAAAAAATTGAGTCGGTAAATATCACAGTTGAGAATAATTGGGAGGCTTAACCTAATGGTTAGCCAATCCTTTCTATATATATCTGTAGTGCAATATAAAATAGCAATGGTGGAGGTTACTACACAAGAGTATGTCTATAATATTTTCTATATAGTATATTTTCTATATAGTATATTAATATGCCCCCTCAAGCTGAGGGTGAAGGATCAACCTGAAGCTTAAACTAGAAAGTATTAAACAAAGCAGTAGGAAACGGCTTAGTAAAAACATTAGCAAGTTGATCATGAGAAGGGATAAAATGAATTTGAATCTCTTTCTTCACAACCTTGTCTCGTACAAAATGATAGTCAACTTCAACGTGTTTAGTTCGAGCATTAAAATAGGATTTGCAGATAAGTAAGTAGCATCTAAATTATCACACCAAAGAGTAGGAGCACAGGTAGAGAGAATCTATAGATCTTGCAATAGATATTGAAGCCAAATAACCTTAATAGTGCCATAAGCCAAGGTTTTATGCTCAGCCTTAGTAAAGGAGCAAGCAACTGTTCGTTACTTGCTAGATTTCCAAGAGAGAGGAGTCTGACTAAAGAAGATGAGATAACCATTGGTGGACTTGCAATCATTAGTACTACCTGCCCAATCTGCATCTGTAAAACCATAGAGAGCAAATGAGGAACTGTTAGTGATATATAAACCATAGGTGGTTGTACTGCGTAGATAACATAGAATGCGTTTAACAGTACCCCAATGAGAATCTGTAGGAACATGTATAAATTGATAGACTCTGTTAACAATAAAACAGATATCGGGTCTCATAAAGGTGAGATATTGGAGGTCACTTTTAATTTAACGAAACCTTGTAGGGTTAGAAAATAAAGGATCTAGCAGTATGGTGACATTAGAGGTTAAAATAGGAGTCTCAACTGTTTACAAGATGTCATACCCATTGGAGTGAGAATGTTAAGAATATATTTATGCTGGCGTAACATCAGACCCATAGTAGTGGGTTGAATCTCAATTCCTAAAAAATAGTGAACGACACCTAAGTCACAAAGCTTCAACTCTAAACTCAGTAACTGGATTAGGCGATGAAGCACAACAGAGTTGCTACCCATAAGCAGAATGTCATCAACATAAACCAGAAGATAGAAAATAT